CTTGATTTTTTGATTCTTCTTCTTTCAAAACGTTGTCAGTCATAACAGGTGTTGACAACAGAATCATTTCTGTTATTTTTAAACCATGGAGGGAATCCGTGTTTGGCATAACATTCATCAACAGTATGGTGCAATTTATTGCAAAAAGTACACTTGTTTACCATAGTTGGAATTCCTCCCACGTCCACGTCCTTGGTTCTTCCAAGATCCACGTCCTTGAGTTTTCCAATTTCCTTGATTGTTAAAATTCACAATAGGTCCTTGATTAGCAGACTGTCAAAAGAGTTTTGGCATCAACGTGACTCACTCCCGCCAATTGTCGTTCTTGTTGCAGAATTAACGAAAAAACACGATTGATTCCTGGGAGAGGCTCCATTAAAAGAATTTGAGATTTTGCGAGTGGTGAAGACGTCATTTAATCCCTTCAGAAAACATATTACATGTTCGGATTCACGATAACGAGCAATGATTTTGAAGGCTTCACAAGAACATTGCAGATTGCAGGTACAACTAGGAATGGGACGCAAGGATTCCAACTCTTCCCAAAGAGTTTTGAAATCTGTATGGAATTCGAAACGCTTCTTTCTCCTTGCTTAATGAAGTGCAATTCCTGTAGCAGATCGAAGTCCTAAAATGGTCTCCTTTTGAGAATCGTTCCTTGAGATCTTCCCAAAGATCTCTTGCATTATCAATATATACAGTACTTTGAGCAATTTGATCACTTAAAGTTCGAGTTATCCAAGAGAGTACCATGACATTGCATCTCTCCCATGAGTCATGAAGAGGATCGTCTTCTTGGGGAATCTTGATGGCTCCAGTGATGAATTTTAATTTGTTTTTTGAAAGAAGAGCTCTGCGCATACTCCTACTCCAAGAATGGTAATTCGTACCATTCAATTGCTTTGAAACAAGAATCATTCCAGGATTCTCACCTGGGTGCAAATAATACGGGCTTGAAGGATTCAAAGATTCGTCAATCACGGTTTGCGTTTACGTATTGCTATTAGCAGTTGAAGAATTGACGAAGCCATCAAGAAACAGAGAAAGATAGAAAAGAGAAACAGAAAAGATGCAGCGGAGGCGGAGCGGGTGTTAACCCGCTCGATACCATAACGTAAAAATATGGATCCCATTGAGAATTTGGGAGAAAATAGCAGAGAAGAAAAAAGCTGATCTAATTCATACACCGATCGAATACAAAAGGAAAATCCCATATGTTTGAGGAAGAAAAGAAGGTTAAATATAAAAAGGAAAAAAGTCAAATATGCAGTTAGTCAAACCTGCATAAAACAATACTAACAAATGGAAAAGGTACACGTGTAACTAATAGACTAATAATGAATCACGGTATTTCCATAAGAATTATTAACAAAAATTGTTTTAAAAATATATATTTTTATTATAATTTTATACATGAGTTCATTAAATAATTTTAATCAATTTTTAAATAATTATTTATAATAAAATATTTATTTTATTTTTAAGTAAATTTTTTACAAATATTTTACTTTTTTTTTACAATGTGAAAGTTCAGTACACATATTTTTACATTTTTATATAAAATATCATATTTTTTCTTTTATTTTTAATTCCCTAAGTGATGTTTTTGTTAATCATATTATAAAATAATTTCACATAAAATTATCATAATTTTGTTAATTATAGGTTTTTATTGTTGGAATACACTTTCAATCTACTATATAAAATATATATTAAAAATAATTCGGGGATAGTTTTTAAATGATTTTACATAATATCACATGTTTATTTTAATTTATATAAATCAATTTCAATTTATATTTACTTTTATTAAATTTATAATAAAATATTTAATTTATCTAATTATTTAATTTTTAATCAATCAAATTATTTTATAATTTATTTATTTATTTTTACTTGCTATTTTATTTTTCTCAGTTTAAATAAGCTGACTTTTTCTAAATCAGGTTAAATTGGAGGAAGAGGTGAATGAGAAAGAAAAAGAAATGGTTAAGGTGAAGGAAAAGATAAACAAAAATAAGCAAAGTCTAGGATTTTTTTTTAATTATAAATAACATGTAAAATAAAATAAAAAATTTATATGGATAATCCTTTTAATTATATTTATCTTTTATCGTAAAAACTATCAGATTTAATGGACATGGTTAAAGAAACTATTTTTTTTTTATTAAGTCTAACACGATCTTATTTATAAATAGGGTGGGTGGATTCTTTGAATAAGATATTAAAATTGTTTTAAATACATGTGGGTGGATTGAAAATGATTGTAGGTTTACTTTTCAGAAGATGTAGAATTTCAAAAGTTAAAGACAATATATTAAATTAAAAGAGGAGAAATAATACCCGACTTAATAATAAGTTAATAACAGTTATACCATTTTTTTTTACTAAGAAAATTATTCGAATAGAAGTTAAAATTGGTAAAAACATGTAAAATTTTATTATCATCATATTGTTATTTTTTATAATTTATACAAATTGTCTTATATAACATGTAATTATAAATAAATAGTTAGAATATTAAAATTGTTTTTTAAATAAATTTATTGATAATATAATAATTTAGATAAGTTACATGCTAAATTAGAGAAAAAAACAGTGATTTTAGTCTTTTTTTAATTAATAAAAAATTTATAATTAGGTGAATCTATGTACAATTTAAGTAAGTAGAGTTATTTTTTAAGTGAGTTATTAATAGAAAATATAAAAAAACTATTATCATATAAGAGTACTTTTAATAAGAGTTATTTATTGAGATACTTAAATAAAATATTAATTATCTAAAATAAATTTTTATTAAAAAAATTTATATGACATAAGTGTTTAAATTTTGTTATAATAATGATAAAAAATAAGAAAATTGAAATAAATAAGAAGAGAATAAATTTTTTAAAATTTAAAAAATAAAATAAAATAAATATAAATATTTTTTATTTAAATAAGAAACAATTCAAGTGAGTTAATGTGATACCATATAGGAAGAGATATCACGTAATAAAATTCTCATCATTAAATAAAAACACGTTTGTTGTTTTCTAATACATTTTTTCACGAAGGAGTGTTTGCAGTCCATTTATTTAAGCCTTCTAGAAAATGATTTATGTAATAAGTCAAATTCTCGTAGTCATGCTGCCCTCTACGCGTTTTGGACTATTCTCGTTTTCGACCATTGTGTCAATCTATCACAAGTGGAGTGTACACATCTTTTTAACACAAATTTTATATTGCTCAAAATATAAGATTTACACAAATTACAAATTTATTGGTCTAGAGAAAGATCTCAATAATTTTCATATTTTCAATAAATTATAATCAATAAAAAATATTAAAAAACGAGTTGTTAATATTTGTCCTCGATCCAAAATAAGAAGTAGGACCAAAAGCTATTTCTAAAAGTTGGATAGGAGACTTTTACTTTTACTTTTTTTTCTTTTTTATGCTTTAAAAAAAACTATATATTGATATTAAAAAATGAAAAAAAAAATTTTTTTGTTATTCCCTTATCGTGTGCGAAGAAAGTAACATTAAATTAGAGAGACATAATCATGTCTCCTTTCGAAATCTATTATGTCTAAAATTTTTTATATAAAATATTATTTATGTTTTAATTATTATAATAATAAATAATTAGATAAAAATATTAAAATAATAAATACAGTTATTTTAAATTAATAAAATAATATTTTAATTAATTATATCAATTTTATCTTTTCTAATTTTTTTCATTTTCTTTTTCATTTATTGTTCTCATCCTCTCAATAATCTTATTTTTATTATCTTTCTTCATTTTCATTCTCTCAAATCCATCTTTTCCATTCCCTCAGATTCATTTTTCAATTTAAACAAAATATAAGTCACCACATTCTCAACTTAGCTCACATATCGCTTTAATAGACGAATAACTCAACCCTTAAAACATATTATAGTCCCAAATGAGAAAGAGTTGACATCGAAATGTTAAACCTTTCTTTTAATGTGAGCTCTCGATGAATATCAACCTTTATTGGTTGAGCAACAATCCTTTCACTCCGTACCGTCATATTACTAAAATCCACTTTCATCCTGCTCGACAATACATCTTGAAGTCAAGCTCCCTTCTCTCTTTATACTTAGAATCAATCTTTATCTAGCCCGAGGAAACCTTTGAACGGTTCCATTATCTTTTGAGAGGCCTGCGCCCCATAAAAATTATCTACGTAAGATTGTCCTCGACCCATAGGTTCTAACAAAAGTTAGAATTCTAACTCTTCCAAAATGGTATCTGATTCTGAACACCCCCAACAAGAGGACATTTTTTACCCTCCACCTAAGTTACGCAAAAAATGCTCAAAACTAATTCCAGAACACAATGAAATTTCATAAGATCTTTTTATCCTTATGCAAATAGTCCACCTCTTCACAAACATATCTATTTCACAATACTGTGTGTGGAACTTACAATTGATCGTAACATTTATCATTTTTCTATCTTTCTCTTTATGATATTATTTTTCATTAAAATAATTTTTTTTTGTGTCTATCACTTCAAAATTGTTTTGGGAATAGGAAACCCTTCAAAGTCACTAACACATTTTTTAATTATTTGTTTTCATTTTCAGCTATATATTTTCATCATAACGATACAAAACACCATCTTTTCATTCTGTTATTTATACTAATTTCTATTTCAATATCAACAATGTCATTTGCAAGGCGTTTTAGGTGCCCCATTCTTACACTGCTCTTTTAGTTTTGGATACAAAAATATAATGACAGCCTTTTTCTTTTACCAAATAATAATGTTTCCGGAATAGTATGCAAGAAGCACTTCACTTTTGAAATTGGCCTATTTGTGATTGCAGCATATCTTCTACCCAACACCATTGACCAATATCTCATGTAGGGTTGTGAATGCAATGTATGGGAAAAGTAACAATCACAAGAACTGCATATACCAGATGTCCTGCTTGTACAAAACCTACACCAACTCGTATTACGGTTAGGAATGATCTATAGTCACGCTATTCCATTGGGGAAGGCATTTCTTCTATTCTCATGTCACCATGCTCGCTACCAAGCATTATTGCCATTAGCATAAGTTTGCCAGCAACTGGAAAATCCTTGTGCTGCATCAATATTGTTTCAACTGAACTACCCATGTCCCCCAAAATAGAAGTCTCCATGTTTTCTTGCCTCAAGGGCAATACTTGGTCAAACCCTTCTTCAAATGTTTCACTTCCAGGTCCATAACACCTACTTGAAGACTGAAAAAGTATGGTATTTTTTAAGTTTTGCAGGATTTCCTGGTCACTCCATCCTTCAGCTCGGTATGAATCGTGGAATTTGCTCCAATCATCCTGACTAGCAGCTTTCTTCCAACAATCCTCCATAAGTTTTCTGTGGATCTTCCTAAATGAGGAACTGGTCCATGCAAAAACGTCAAATGCCCACAGCGAGAGCTCTTGATCTTCACTTTCCAGGCACAATTTAATCAAGTCTTCTGGATGAAGCAGCTCACCTTCAACAAGCTGCGTATCTTCAATGGAAAGAGAACGTTTCATTACTTCCTCCTGCATGTAAAACATGTAAATAAGGATAAACAGGACTCTTAAAAGGATGCAACACCGCTTTTTTACCAGTGCAAAGCTACCCAAGTTCGCATGAAAGAAAGTAAATATTAAATCATTAATCTTCGACCTCAAGGGCAATTAAAACAGTCACAAGACTCTGCCAGAAGTCACATGTATTTTACCTGTAATTTTAGAATCTTCAAATCAGCCTCAATGCGGTCCACCTTGACTTGCGTACCAGGGTCTTTACCAGCTGTTAACAAAGAAAAGGTAATATTATTTATTTATAGCAAATGCAATTTACTAGGCATCCATCCATCCCAAAAAAATATAGATATTTAATTTATTAAACAGCCAGTGTCCAATTGAAACAGCACATATAGATTAAAAAGGGAGAAATTATAATTTAAATACAAATCATTATTCAATAATTTAAAAAAAAACAACAAAATGTGAACAAGATATAAAGCTGTCACATGTATATCATGGGCACAGTCAATGATCGAGCAACATGACCATTTTTGCAACATTAAGTGGCATAGCCATGATTTTAAACACTCAGGAAGTTAGTGAACACAATTCCAGTAGAAGCAAAATGTTTAAATTATGGTGATTAAGGTGTTGAGAGAGGAAACATGAAAGAATAGCAATTATTGTAGTGACATGATCTAATGTGATATGGTACAAAACAGAGCCCTATTTATACTTGTACTTGACTCTTCATCCTAATTGAATAAGGAAATATGGAAACTAACCTTAAGGTGCTAAAGTATTATTACTACAGCTCTATACACAATAAAGATATCATTAGATATTTTCCATTTATTCTAACACACCCTCTTAGCTTACTACAACTAAACATACTAAATAGTACAGGGCCCGATTGCATGAGAACAAAAACGAAATGGATGTGATCAGATATCATCATACTACTCATTAGAGCGAGGCCACACATCTGCAAGGGCCAAACTGAATGTGAGATAGGCAATGGAGAAAAATGGAAAGAGACCAACTTACAAATTTGGCAGGGGCAAATCGTATCTGAAATTGAAGACATCTAAATAAAGAGATACCAGACTTCACATTAGGTAAAGCTAAACTATAAGCAAGATCAAAGGCCATATTGCATATCTAGATGGGTCAAACTGCATCTGGATTGTAGAGTGAAGATGATAATGGAGCCAATCTATGGACAGAAAGGCTCAAACATAACTGATCTTAAAATAGAGAGGATAAGACAGAGGAACTGGAATGACAACAATAACACACCGAAGAACTGAAGTTAAAAACTAAAAAAATTCAAGGCAACAAAATTTGCAAAGGATAGACGTCATGGCTTTGATACCCTGTTGAAATTATGGGGATTTAGGTATTTAGAGAAGAAAATTGGGTAAAAGCCTATTTGCAATGTGTATTACAATTGATGTAATTTGATCTGAGATGATATAAAATAAAAAAATTAATCCAAATTTATAATATCAGACTGTAGCTCTAATAAAATAAGAAAACAGAAATGAGATAATAAGAAAAAATGGAAATTAACGGTAACATACTCCAATCTATCCTAAGATATAATCAAGATAATATTAGATATTTTAACATATTCTACGCAAATTAAAGTTTTCTAACATCTAGATAATCACCAGTTCCCAAAAATAAATAAAAGTATGACAAAAAGCTGCAGCCTTTAGGTCAAGTTGGTAATTGAAAAATCATATAACCAACAAACTCTCATGTACTCATTCATATAACAGAACACTAAAAGTTGAGTGCAAGCCAGAATTTAACTCCAATTTTTGGGAAAGTGAACCAAAAATGATTTCAAAATCTCACTAATATGAGAATATAAAGGAAGAGATCTATAGAAAAATAAAATGGAATATAGAGAAAGGAAGTAATTTCCATAACAAATGAAAAACACACCTGCGAAGGCAGCAATCTTAGATAGATATAAAAGATTTTTTCTGTCAGACAATTTTAGTTTCTTCTTCATATACTCCTGTTCTCCTTCCTCTTCAGCAACTGAATTAGATTGCATGTTTTGCATGAGGGCCAATGTATGAAGCGATTCTGAAGCAGAGGAAAACTGATGAAGGAACAAATCATGAAGCCAAAGAAGATCTTGATACTCCCTAAGGAAAAGAGATAGCTCTTCAGGAAATTCTTCCCCTAGCCTTAAAAGTTGAGAAAATTGTCTGCTTTCATGGAGTTTCTTAAAGACATAGTAACTAAATCCCCCATTAGGTCCCAGACTTTCATGCTGCACACAAACCATAAAGACATAAGCAAGAATACATTCTGAAAACATAGAAACACATAGAACATAGAGAATCCTTAAGATTAAATAATACGAAATAGATATCATAAATTATCATTTTCCAATACAGATTTGTGTGTAGGGCCAAGGTTTTAGTCAACATTGTCAGCAATGTAACTGTAAACCACTCAGTTATTACTAGCAACTCATTTCAGGTGTTGTGTCCAAAATAAGGCACTTTCTGGTATGTCATGTGCTTTAAGAGTTCAGAAAAAAATAAAAAATGGATGATACATTGTGCTTGAGCAATGGTGAAGAATGTGATAAAAAAAATCTCCCTATACCTGGTTAACATTTGTTTGCATAGTCTTTCCTTTGCAGCTCTTTCCACTGATAAAAAAAAGATTAAATTGAAAGGAATAGTAGGGCTTGTAAAAATTTGGTGGTACTGTGAGATTTTTTAATGGTTCTTAATTAATAGATCTTTATTTTTTTAATGGACATTTTGTATGTCAACTCTAGCTCTAGATCGGGATAGAACTGTTACTATTGCTTTCATATGGACTACAGCTTTAGGAGTGCAAATATTTCTTCCCACCGGACTTCTATTCAATCCTAAAGCCATATTAGTAACAGAATTTTTAGGTTGACATGCTCTTAAAAACCATAATTGCAATTTGCAAATACCTAGAAAAGAGGGAATAAAAGTAACATAAGTGCACAGCATGACAACCGTTAGATATTGTTTAGATATTATTTGATATTGTTAAGATATTGTTAGATATTGGTAACCACAATATCAAACAATATCTTCTGTTTATTCTGTTACTTTCAGTTACTCTTTTAGTTGTATTTCTCTACAATAAATAGACTACCTTATGTGTGATTTATACACAAAGGAAATTAATTCCAAAACCCTATTTTCTCTATATTCAACATGGTATCAGAGCTTAAGGTTATCTTGAATTTTTTTTTTCCGCCTTTTGTCCACTGTTGGAGCTGCCCCACCGTTGCTAGAGTCGCCCCACCGCTGCTGGTAAACTAATCCTCCACATCAGAAAAGAATTATCTTTGTCATTGAATTTTATTTGGTAGTGTGAAAGTGCATGTTTAGGAAAGTTCTGGCAAGGAAAGACTTAGTATTTAAGTGTGTCCATTAGTGACCCACCTCTCTTTCCTGGGAACTTACCTAGTGTACTAGTTCACGTTACTGTCACCGCTGCCGCTGGAGCAGTCACCGGGTCCACCGCTGTCGGAGAATTCGCCGGAGTTTCATTTTTTTTTACCGGTGACATATGATTTTGCTTGTCTCGGTCAGGGTTTGTTCTCCCGCTCTTCATGACTTCTTCCACTATTTCCAATTTCGTTAACGATTCTTTTGTGTTGACATCCCATCGTGATGACCGGGCTCGCCCTCGCAAACAGGAAAAAGGGCGTCCTAAGTGTGAACATTGTGGCAAGCTAGGTCACAAGATTAACAAGTGTTATACATTACATGGTCGTCCTCCTCAGTCTGCTGTAGTTGTTCAGACCAATCTTTCCCCACCTTTATCTGCAGGGGATCTTCCTTCTTCTGTTGCATCCGACATGTCTGCTATGTTCAACAAATTTCTCGAATGATATAAGGATTAACAGTCTTCTAGTTCCACTATATCCGTCACACATACAAATACATATTTTCGTTGGTCCGACCCAATCATTTTCTCCTGGTCCTTGGGTTTTTGATTCAGGAGTCACCGATCATATTATCGGTAACAAATCTTTGTTCTCCTCTTTATCCTCTCCTAATCATTTACCTTCGTTACACTCTGGTCGATGGCTCTAGAGTATCATCTCATGGTGTTGGAACGGTTAAACTTTTTCCTTCTTTAACCATTGATAATGTTCTTTATGTCCCCGGGTCTCCTTTTAACCTCGTTGTCCATCGATCGTCTAACTCGTTCTCTTGATTGTGTTGTTACTTTTACCAACAATTCCGTGTGTTTACGGGACCGAAGTTCGAAACAGGTGATTGGCACGGGATGTGAGTCTCATGGTCTTTATTATCTCCGTCCCTCTACACATGTTAGTATAGTTAGGGAGTCTCCCTCTCTTCTTCATGCTCAGTTAGGTCATCCAAGTCTTGCCAAGTTACAGAAACTTGTCCCTGCCTTGTCTAACTTATCTAGTTTGGCGTGTGAGTCATGTCAATTAGGCAAGCATAGTCGTACTTCCTTTCCTCGTAGTTTCACACGTGGTGCTTCGTCCCCTTTTGCCGTGGTTCACTCTGATATTTGGGGACCTAGCCGCGTTAAGTCTACTTTAGGTTTTCAATACTTTGTTACTTTCATTGATGATTATTCCAAATGCACTTGGTTATTTTTGATGAAAAATCATTCTGAATTATTTCATATCTTTCAAACTTTTTTTAATGAAATTCAAACTCAGTTCGGTGTTTCTATTAGAGTTTTGCGTAGTGATAATGACCGTGAATATCTTTCTCATTCTTTTAAACAATTCATGGCTTCTCACGGTATTTTGCATCAAACTTCTTGTGCTTATACACCTCAACAAAATGGTGTAGCTGAACGTAAAAATAGACATCTTATTGAAACAACTCGCACACTTTTAATTCATGGAGATGTTCCTCAACATTTTTGGGGTGATGCTCTTCTTACTGCATGTTATCTCATTAATCGCATGCCTTCTTCGGTTTTAGATAATAAAATACTTCATTCCATTTTATTCCCTCATGAACCACTTCATCCTTTACCTCTGAAAGTTTTCGGGTCTACATGTTTTGTTCATAATTTCAGTACTGGTCTGGACAAGCTTTCTCCTAGATCACATAAATGTGTTTTCTTAGGGTTTACAAGATCACAAAAAGGATACAAATGTTTTTCTCCTTCTCTTAACCGTTATTTTGTGTCAAAAGATGTCACCTTTGATGAGTTGTCTCTTTATTTTAAAAGTCAAACTTCACCTCTGTCTCCATCCAATCTTGTCAACACTCCTAATTGTTGAACATTCAAGAACTTGATGTTGCAAATAATGATCATGAAGAATGTTGATTTTGATGATGATCCAAGAGCTTAAAGACTTAGAGTATTGAAGATTGAAGATTGATGATTTCTGTATTGTAATAACTCTGTTTTAGTTTGATTGAGTCTGTAATTATAGAGTCTAAGATAACCGGTACATAGTCTATAACTTAGATGCTTCAAAATGCTCAAATTTATCATGCAGGCTCGGCTTTAATCGATTATATAGGTAAATAATCGATTAAAACAGTGAGAAAACCACTTTCTATACTAAGTCACTGTTTTAATCGATTAAAAAGCAAAATAATCGATTATTTCGTACCGTTCCGTACAGATAATCGATTATTTCACCAAATAATCGATTAAACCAGAGAGGATTGGGGTCTGACGTATTTGGCTCTGTTTTAATCGATTAAAACTCCATTTAATCGATTATTCCAGATCTGTTTCGATTTTAAACTTCAAACAAACCCTATTTTCGAAAACCCAATTACCAAGAACCCTAGTTTCGAAATCCCCAATTCCTAAACCCTAATTTCCCTACTTAAACTCTGCTTTGGCACTCGGAAAAATTAAGAACAACTCTTTCCATACAAAAGTTAAGTGCTCGTGAGTGCCGGAGAACTGTTTGTTGCAAGGAAAGGAGGCTTTTGGAACCTGGTGTGAGGCTAGAAGCGATAAGAATCACTAAGTGGAGTTCTTAGTGGATTGTGTGTTGTGCCGTCTCTAGGGAAAGTCTGTTCTTCATCTCTTGTGGATTTCAAGAGAGGTGTTGTCTTTACTTTATCTCTTTGATTTGTAATCTGTTTATAACAATTTGTTCTTAGTGACGACGTTAATCCTCTTTTGAGTGATTAGCAACTCGGACGTAGGGTCTTTTGATCCGAACCAAGTATAAACCTACCGTGTAATCTTCTCTACTCTTCTTTATTTACATTTACGCAGCTTTTAATCGGTAAAATTTGGGGAAAATTTTGAAAACCTAATTTTCATTAAGAAACCAATTCACCCCCTCTTGGTTTTTGTCCGACCACGCGAACATTCCACTGCGCGATTCTAACAAGTGGTATCGAGCTTGCTTTGATAGTCATTCAAACTTTTCGAAAATGGCCGGACAAAATCAAACTTTTGCCGAAGGTGCGTCTATCAACGGACCCCCACTTTTGCGGGTCAAAATTATCCTTTTTGGAAAGTACGTATGCAAATATTTTTAGAGTTCGTTGATAGAGGTGTTTGGGACGCAATTTTAAACGGTCCATTTGTTCCTAAAATTACCGAGAACGGTGTTGACGTTCTTAAACCTATTTCTAAATGGACTGCAGAAGAAAGTCGAAAAGCACAATTTGATGTTAGGGCTAGAAACATTATTTCATCTCGCTCTAACCCTTGATGAGTTTTATAGAATTTCAGTTTGTAAAAGTGCACAGGAAATGTGGGAAATGCTAAGGGTGACCCACGAAGGAACCGACGACGTCAAAAGAGCACGTAAAAATTCTTTAATCCAAGAATACGAGATGTTCCGGATGCAACCAGGCGAAACGATATTTGACGTACGAAACGTTTCACTCATATCGTGAACCATCTCACCGAGACTAGGTAAAATTTTTGACGTTGATGAATTAAATGTTAAAATTTTGAAATCTCTGGATAGGAAATGGCAACCAAAGGTGACGGCCATCTCGGAGTCACAAAATCTTGCCACTATGTCCATGGCGGCGTTATTTGGAAAGCTTAGGGAGCATGAACTTGACCTTGGAAGACTAAATGAGGAAGAGGGTCAATATCAAAAGAGGAACCTAGCTTTCAAGACCGAGATTTCAAAAAGCAAAAATAAGAAAGAAGAAGAAGAAGACTCCGAAATTGATGAAGAAGAGATGAGTCTTTTTATAAAGAATTTCACCAAGATGATGAAAGCAAAAGGAAGACATCCTTTCAAAGGTAAGGGAAAGGTAAAAGAAAATTCTTCCGTTAATATAAAATGCTTTGGTTGTGGTGAAACAGGGCATATAAAGACCGAATGCCCAAACAAGAAAAATGATGAACACAAGGGCAAAAAGCAATTCATGAAGAAAGCATATATTGCTTGGGATGATAGTGATTCAAATTCAGAATCAAGCGACTCGGAAATAGAAGCAAACAATTGCTTGATGGCAAATGACAACAATTCTTCAGATTTTGAGGAAACTTCCAAATCAAAGAAGTCTATGTGGTATCTTGATAGTGGATGCTCAAAACATATGACTGGGGATAAAACGAAATTTGTAAGTTTCAAAGCCAAAGAACAAGGATATGTGACTTATGGGGATAACAACAAAGGGAAGATTCTCGGAATTGGAAACATAGGTGGTGCAAATACATTGGAGATTAAGGATGTGCTTCTTGTTGATGGATTAAAACATAACCTTCTTAGCATAAGCCAATTGTGTGACAAAGGATTCAAGGTAACTTTTGAAAGCAAATTTTGCACCATATATTTAGTAGATTCCGAAAAAGTAGAATTAAAAGGCATTAGGCATAACAACATATATTTGATTGATTT